TCAAAAGGGCACAATACCCAGAGAATGAAACTGCCTTGGTAAGTTTTCCAGCCAGGCAGAGAAATGGCCAAACAGAAGATCCTGTACCTGAATCAGGAGCACTAGGAAGAACACCAGCAGAACTGAATGAGCCAACTTTTCTGAGAACAGAGGGTCTCACATGTTTGCATGTGTTTCTGCTCTTGGATAAATAGAGGATCTCATGGAATTGTTGACAATATCAGTCTAGCCGATCCCAGCTTGGTGGATCCCAGAGGAGAACGGACTGGGCTTGGAACCAAAGATGGATCTGAGTCCTTCAGTGTGAGATTATGAGCTTGGGGCACCCCAGATGGCCAGTAATGCTCAAAGAGGTCCTGTGGCTATGTTGCCAGGCTTACAACTCCCACATTATGCCTCTGTGGAAGTAATGCCATGAAGGAAAACTTTCATCGTTTGGGCTGCAATTTTCCATACTTGGTCTCTATCCAAAGATGAATTGGTAGTGAAAAATTGAGCAAAATCAGTTCCACTGTTTATGAGCAGAAGGAGAATGGGGAAAAAATACACATTTCCCATCACCTTGCATAGTAGTGTGGAGGAAAAGCGGGTCAGGGGTGAGTCAATACTGTTCCACTGATTCGCTATTCCTTCTTCCAATGACACAGACAATTATAATAGTAGAGATTACTTCAGCCTTTGACATACAGAGTGTCTCCAAAGCTGCTAGAGCCCTGGATTTTGTCTATCATACACCTACAAGAAAAGTCTGACTTTCACTGCTATTGTGTTGTGTGCCCAAGTACATCTGGGAATATGAGCTGTTAGAATCATGCAGTGACTGAGACATGCAGTCCCTTGTCCCATCAAGCATGGCCTTTTCAAACCCAATCCTGTGAAGTACTGGACAATTCCTTTAAGGTGCTGAGCTCCTTCACCTTCCATTGATTTCAAAGGCAGCTACAGTTTCTCAGCACTTTGGAAAATTGGCCTCTTAATCCATTTGCCACATTTACTTGCTAATATGTACTTAGAGGAGACCAGGTAAAACCTGCACACTTATGTCTGAGTTCACTAATACAAAGAGAGAAGAGCAGATATATTGTACATATTCATAATAGAAACATTAAATTAAAAAATCTTATTTTTAAAATATTAATTATATTTAAAAGGGATCCATTAACACAATAGTACCAATTTGAACACTGCAATTATGGACTGATAGCAAACTTAGCTTAAGAAACTGTTCATGATTTGATTTATAAATGTAAAAAGAGAAATAATAAAATAAAAATATAAAATAGACCTGTGGGACTTTTTTTACTCTATAATGTGCTCCCAACATTTGGTATTCAAAGAAATAATCTGAACAAAGGCAGAATTTTTGCTAACCCTGTCATGCAATTTTTAGCTCCTTGCATTTTTAAGGTATCTCGTTCATCATAAAACACAGTACTTATATTGTTCATTTAAAAGCAGATAAGGAAAATATTGTTGAGCATAAATACATATAAGCTTATTAAAATCCAAAAGAGAGGAGTTCAGTTTTTCTAATAGAATTTAGATAACAGTGTTGACACCTTTTCAAGATATTTCTTTCTATATTCCACAATGGAATCTCTTGCAAAAAGCAACCAGTAGGTGGAGCAGACAACATAATTTATTACTTGATAACAAGGGCATGGAGTCTGTAGCAGGTTTCTTCATAATTATGGGAATCATGTAGGAGAAATTTTCTTCAAACAAAGGAAGCTCATATATGTTAGTTGTTACTTGTCTAGTTATTCAAGCTATTGATACATAAAGCAAGTTGATTAAAAGCTCAGTATTCCATAAGCATAGAATTTTAGAGTTCATAATTTATTTCTCCAGGCATTATTTTCCAACTAACTTAGTTTTATTCAAATGAAAAATCACTTTCTATTTTCAAACCTCCTCTTATAGCTACAAAGTTTGGGCTGTATTTGTGGTGCATGAACAACACCAGCTACACAGAGACAAAAAATAGATGTGTTTATTTTCTAAATCTGTAAAATTTATTTATGTTTTGAAGTTAGTGGGATGCATAACAAACAATTTTCAAGGAATAATGCTGATTAAGTGTGTGACAACAAATTAACGCTATTACTGCTAGTAAATATTGATTATGCAAATATGCTCAACTGTTTAGATTTCTTTCTGAAATGTAGATGTCCAGGAGATACTCTTATTTTTAAATTAATAAATTCATAAGGTCTGTTAATTCAAGCACTGATATATAGCTGAAGTAATCATGTATCTGTATTAAAATGTTTGTATAAATATAGTGCATATGTACAAACATCAACAATAAATTGCTATATTATTGCAAATTCTTATGAATAAATTGAGTTCAATATTTACCAACAAATATAGTAAAATGGTAATTTTAAAATGTACTATAATAGGGTATAATTTTTTTATATATATACTCTGTTAAAAGCTATCACTGAGTTTATTGATCCATGTTTTATTTATTGTAAGCATGACACAGGTTAGACAAAGTGTTACACTATATTAAATACTACATTAATTTGTAGCCTTTGTAAAAATGTAACTGTTGAACTTGTAAGCACTGAGGCGCTCTAGTAGTCAAATTGTTGCAGTCACAATGGCAGTCAATTTTAATGTTTGTGCTGCAGAACATAAGGAAAAGACATCAACATGATATCATCAAGCATTAGCCCCACAAGCATCTAAAGCTACAATTCTGAATAGTCTGTGGAAGACTGACTTCTTCAGATCTATGATAGCCTATTTTTAGTCTACAGATGTTAATCTTTAGCAACATTTGGGACTTCCTGAATTATAAAATATCCTAAAATAATGTTATGTCAGTATTTTGCTTGAAATTTTATTTCTCATTCAGCTATGGTAAAATGTTTATGGAATAGGTGATGGAAATAGCAACAGCAGAAAATACTGATATTTAATATCGATAACCTTTAACATTATATTATTTTACTATCTGTCACAAAGAAGCAAATCAATATAGAAAGGAACTAAGAAAAAAACTCCAAAATCATATTTCAATACTTTTGCTAAACTCATTCATTATATCAAACCATCTTGCTGCATGAAGAGGCAAAGTGCAGATACAGCAATTTAAATGAGTGCCAGTAATGTACAGGAATTTAGCTTATTTTTTCTTATTAGGGTATTTTTTCTTAATAGAGGGGATTTTTTTTTATAAAATAAAAAAATGATAGCTCAGCTCCTGGATCACAATTCAGTACCTAACTGTGACTTCTGTGGCAAATTTTGTGGCTTCAGGGTCACCCTGGCAGTCAGCAAAACCAGAGTGTTTTTAGTTCTGCAAAGCCTTGTCTGTCAAGCTTTGTTTTTGCTAAATCAGAAACCCAAATCCATAAGACCACTATGCTTACTGCTGCCCTCCACCAGGAAAACCTTAACTTGAAGACTGAGGTACAAACGTTGCCTGCCATCCCTTATAGATGAATCTTGGGGTGTAAAAGTCCCCACTTGTAAAGGAAAATGCAGTTTTCTAATGTGACACTATCAGGAACAAAATGAGTTCATTATATTTTAGACCACAAGTCATTCAGTTCATCTCACTAGCCATCTAAAAGAATGGTGAACATGCCATAGTTTAATTTTTCAGATACTAAAGGTCTAGAACATTTTATCCACATTAACACTTGGTTTGTTAGGCTTCCTTATTTCTAATATTTTTGATTGATGTATCTGCTTAATATTGGAATTATTATAAAAAAAGTTATTTTTTCCAAATAATGGTCCAAGAAAATGTAAAGACTTTAAGAACATTCTATGTGGAAAACGTACTATTTCTACAGCTGGCCAAATTATTTGTGGTGAATAATATTCAATTACTAACTTAGGCCTTTTCTCTGTTTGCAAATTGCTTCTGAACAGACCTTGAATTTTAGTAATTTTGCAATTAAAGTTACTCATTTTTACTAATGTATTCACTTTTCAAAACTGACATACAATTAATGCAAACAAGTTTCAAACTATGGGTCGATCATAAATGACTCAAAAACACTGAAAAACGCTAAACTTGCTGCCACTGAGTCACATGGTATTGTTCCTGCTTCCTGACCGGATGACTGATAATTTTTATTGTAACAAATAACTAACAATGAGTAGCAAACAACAAATAGGAAATAATGAATAACCAATGTTTTGTTCATGCCTGAAATTTCACATGTAAAGACAAGTATTCATGTGAAGAACAAATATTCACCAAACAATCATGGAAAGAAAAATAAATTTGCACAAATGTTCACAAATAGGGACTAGCAAGGAACACAAATATAGTCAAAATAGAACAGCCCTTCAAAATTTGAACTATTGTTCTTAAATCCTGTTTTACCATATAAGATCAGCTCTATTAATTACTAACAAATTTGACTTCCTTCCAACCACATTGTATAGGAAGACTTGAAAAGTCTAGAACTTTTAGCAGTGCAAACAAATTAATCAGTAAATATTCAAAATTCCAGATGCATACCTATGTGAAAATAATCAAGGTAAATGTGCTGATCCAGGCAGTTCTGTGAAAAGCTTTAGCTGAAACCCTACATTTACAATGTATTTTAAAACACAGCAGAAGAGCACAGTATCAATCCAATCATTAGCTCAATTAAAAAAGAAAAAATGAAACCTCTCCTCAGCTTAATAACTTGTTAGTTCTTGACAAGTGCAACCACACAACAATAAGCCAGTCAAAATGAGTTTTTAAAGCGAGGTTATGCCCTTCGTGTTGTGTTATCACAGTGGCAGATCAAACTGCTGACTTGGACTCTTTCTGCCAGCAGTGCTGTTACTGCCTCTGTGAAGCTGCTGTCACAGAATAGTCATGGTACCTGCTCTCACCTATAGAAAAGCACTAAATTGAACTCAAAGTAGTGTCTTTGTGATATCTTTTCAACAAGTCATGTCCCATTCAGCCTGCTAGTTTATCTCTGTCAGGCTGGGGGCCCAAGTGGTTTGCATGAGCTGTCAGGGACAGGTATACCAACCTGCTCTGTGCTGAGGAGGTAATGCATCTTTCGGGCTTGGTGATCCTTTTTCTTTTCTTCCCTTTCTAGGTCTTTTTTCTCCTTTTCTTTCTCCTTCATCTCTGCAAACTCCTCTAGTTCTTTCCTGCATCAAAACAACTCTTTGTTATTTACAGTCCAGAGGTGAAAAAAGATGCTAACACTTTTTTTTTTTAATTCTTTCACAGCTGGTTTTCCATGGCATTCAACGTGCTGCCCTCATCCATTAACAATCAATGGAAATCAGTGGAATGTTAAAATCTTCTTGGTACATTCTGCAGTATAGCAGATGGATTCTATATGGATGTAACTAACATTTGGTACCATTAAAGTGGTTAAATCTACATTCTATGTGTATTGTACAGTATACCGTATTTATTCATAATTCATTCATTTATATTCTTTAGCTTTTATTTTGAGGAAGATTTTGATGGTATTATTTAAATATTTTGATAAAACAGAAGTAATAGATATTTTATGCACTGTTTTATCAAAAATCATTTTACATTGAGTTTCTATAAATAGAATTTATTTTAATGTAATAACTTCTTTCAAATGGACATCAGCATTGTAAACTGATAGTTTATATTTCAGCTAGTACCTTGTGACAGAGTGATAGATCATGACCCTGTGACAGACCCTCTACCCCTTCTGCCCTTGTGTGAGCAGAAGGGTTAGAAGGAGGAAGGGTAAGCTTGACTATTTGATATCCCTCTCATTGCTGGATCACTGAGCCCTCTGCAGGGTTGAGGATCTGTGCATGGAGAAGGGTTGGGGCATGGGATGCAGGCAGGTGAGCGGGGTCCAGGGGCATACACCTTTCCCTCATTAAATACACGTGAAGTCCTTGGGAAAGACACATGCAATATTAACTTTCTTGGACATCTCCCTTCTCAGTGTGGAGCCTTTCTGACAAGGGTAGTACAGAGCAGCCACAGTCATGAGGAGTCCACAGCAAAGTCACTGCCGGGAAAACAGGTTGTGGGGCAGGGGTTCCTGGAGCCAGTGTGGAGGGACATAAGGTCTGCTGAGCAAATGTTCCTGTGCCTCCAGTAGTTCTTGGAAGATCCACAGGTAGCAAGAGGCTGATCCCACTGTCTGCTTTGCAGGGGAGCGGCAAGCCCATATTTCCAGTAGAACAATCTGAGGTAAAATTTGCAGAGATTTTCTCATCAATGGCTTCTTCACATGGATTTTCTGCAAGAGGACCAGTCTGGCCCCAAATTATGCAAAATTGTAGAGTAAATTAATGTCCTATACTAAGCATAATTCAGTGTTATAGTTCACAGTGCATGTGTATTGAATTATTTTGACCCAGTTAAAAGAGGTTAGCTTGAGAAACAGCTAGTTCAAATTAACCTGTGTGTGAAAGACACCAGCTTTGTTCAGTGATTAGGTGAGTACATTCTGGCCTTTTTTCAGAATATGTTACATAAAATAAAAAGTGAAGACAAATGCACAGTTCATATGTCTGGATAGTAAATAACACAGCAAAAAGATATCTGGGATCTGATACTTCTCCCACAGAAGTCAATGGTAACACTCCCATTGACTTCAATGAGAGCAGGATTTGGCCCCTGGAGAACAAGGATCAAATCAGGCAAATATTTAAGCATGTGTATGTAACTTTAAAATATGTAACTTTACTGATGTGAGTAATCCTACAGGCAAGTCAAGTTACCTCAGTCAGTGTTTGCAGGATTGGGCTCCAGCTTTGTAATACTAGCTGTTATAATTATCATAATGTTAATTTAATCCACAAAAACATGTGAAATGGTAATAAATGCCTTATAAATATATGAATGCAGTTAAAATAAATTCTTAAAGAAAATACATATTAAAACTGTATCATTTTTATATTTGATTCATGCTACAGTCTTTCAACTTTTCTTTACCAAAATATTAATCCACAACACCTGGTAAAATGAGTAAAATGTTAAGTAAATCATGCATGTTTTTTCTTCAAATGTGCAAGACAAAAATAGAATGAAAAGGAAATACATTAAAGGTAGGGAAAGATGTATAGGTCTGTTTCAATCTCTGCAAATATTTTTTGTTGCAGTTTACTGTTAAAGGCTGCTAATACAATATTTCATACAAGGTTACTTATGAAACATACTGACGTTTAAAAATCACCACGCTATGCTTTTGCAGCAGTGTAATTTTTTTCCAACATAAGATTAAATTGCAAAATAAATGAATTACTTAGAGTAGCATGGCCCCCATTTTGCCACCCTTCTCTTGAAAATTGCTTATTAATATGAAAAAAGAAGTTGGAAAATAGCCTCTTTTACTTTATGCATAGCATTTTGGGGCCTCGCAGCCTGCAGACCTGGACTAGCTGCACATTTTAGATTGTGTTGGCAAGCGGGTACAATGACCTTTCTGACCTGCATCTCAAGGCTATTATTAATCGCTAAGTAACCTGGTAAAGCCAAACAAATTTGTTTCCATTGAAAGGATCTCTATCTGTGTCTGAGAATTTGTGCTGTACCAAACAAACCTCATTAACTGTGTCCATTTTTGACAAAGAACTAGGAGTTGGAGAGATTGGCGACCTTTCTTTGTCCTTAAGGTACAGACTTCAGAGCAGTTATATGTGGGTAAATAAGTATTTTTACAAGGAAACTCTTTGTTCTATATTAACCATAAATAAAAAATAAATAAAAGTGCATGTGTTATCAAGTTTACTTTTTTATTTTAGGCAACTTTATATTTAAATATTTGTGCACATATTCTATATTTTACATATTTAATACTGCATCTCATTCTTTTTCATTAGATTCTTCCATTCAGCCTGAGTACCACTGTAATAGCTGGTAAACTGCCTATAAGTATATGATCATAACTTCTTCCTATTCTTATCCACTTTTACCCAACAATGAATAAGAAGTTATATTGTTCAAGAGAAAACTGGTGAAAATCCCCAAAGAAAGATATCTATATCTATATCTATATATGCATTTTATTACAGATTTAATGATAACGAAGGGTAAAATATTTGTCCCATGTCATCAGTTAGATTCTACATGATTTAGAATGAATTATTCATTACCATAATTTGTTCAAATCAAAAAAAGTTTAGATCATTTGCTGAAATGGAGTTCAAGGCAATATATAATTTTATTAGAAAGTACTATCCCAAGATCATCACAATTCCTTACAAATAGCCACACATTTTTTCATTAATGTTCTACACAAAACCACTCATGAATGTAAATTCTTTTAAATAACTATAGAATTTTCAATAGATTTTAATATATTTTCAACAGCCTACATATTTTGCTAACATTTTCTGTTTCAGTAATATTGTGTGCGTAATGTTTACATTACTTTATATATGTCAACAATATTATAATAAAGTAATTACCTCTGAGGCCTCTGTCCTTGAAGTCATCACAAAATGTAAAGTATATACTAGTCTAAACATTACTATACGTATAGACTGCTTAGCAAAATGATACCAATTTAGATTTATTCTAAAATGATTTACACCCTGAAATCCCCACATGTTCTTTCTACCACACTTTAAAGATTTGATCTTAGTCCCATCGATATCAATGGTAGTGAGATCAGACCCAAGGAATTAAATATGACTTTATATAATTCACAGTATAATATTTAGGCTCTGAGACTATGGTCTGTGCAATGGGACAGTTGGCCAGTATGTAAAGAGAGCGATGAGACCAGCATATATGTAAAGTACATACTACAGACATTGCCTTAAGACATCGTACATCTACCAATAACACTGAGATCTACAACCACATGCATATATGCTTGCATACAAAAAAATAAAATAATCCAAAACTCTCTGATGTCAATGGAAAGACTCTCAATGACTTTGATGGACTTTGAATCAGGCCCTTCCTCCCAACTGTCTCTATTTTTCTTTACAAACAGTACATTCAACAAGTACTAATAAGTAATCCTTTCTCTGTGAATGCCTCACGCAATCAAGGATGTAAACACTTCATATACTGTGTTACCCCCTCAACCCCAACCTCTTCATTCACAGTGATCAGTATTATAATCTCCGCTTCAGGTCAAAACTTCCATTGACTCCTGTGGGTGCTCCATGTGTGGAAAGGGAATTGAATATGGCCAAATAGAATCAGAGATTCATAGGACTGGAAGGGACCTCGAGAGGTCATCTAGTCCAGTCCCCTGCACTCATGGCAGGACTAAGTATTATCTAGACCATCCCTGACAGGTGTTTGTCTAACCTGCTCTTAAAAATCCCCAATGATGGAGATTCCACAACCTCCCTAGGCAATTTATTCCAGTGCTTAACCACTCTGACAGTTAGGAAGTTTTTCCTAATATCCAACCTAAACCACCCTTGTTGCAATTTAAGCCCATTGCTTCTCGGCCTATCCTCAGAGATTAGGAAGAACAATTTTTTTTCCCTCCTCCTTGTAACAACCGTTTATGTACTTGAAAACTGTTATCATGTCCCCTCTCAGGCCAGGTCTACACTACCGCGGTAGTTCGACGGCTGGCAATCGAACTTCCGGGTTCGATTTATCGCGTCTGGTCTGGACGCGATAAGTCGAACCAGGAAGTGCTCGCCGTCGACTGCGGTACTCCACCTCAGCGAGAGGAGTACCGTGGAGTCGACGGGGGAGCCTGCCTGCCACGTGTGGACCGCGTCTGAACCGCGGTAAATTCGAACTAAGGTATGTCGACTTCAGCTACGTTATTCACGTAGCTGAAGTTGCGTACCTTAGATCGAATTGGGGTGTTAGTGTAGACCAGGCCTTAGTCTTCTCTTCTCCAGACTAAACAAACCCAATTTTTTCAATCTTCCCTCATAGGTCATGTTTTCTAGACCTTTAATCATTTTTGATGCTCTTCTCTGGACTCTCTCCAATTTGTCCACATCCTTCCTGAAATGTGGCGCCCAGAACTGGACACAATACTCCAGTTGAGGCCTAATCAGCGCGGAGTAGAGCGGAAGAATTACTTCTCATGTCTTGCTTACAACACTCCTGCTAATACATCCCAGAATGATGTTTGCTTTTTTTTGCAACCATGTTACACTTTTGACTCATATTTAGCTTGTGATCCACAATGACCCCAGATCCCTTTCTGCAGTACTCCTTC